CCCCCCAGCTTCGGGGGCTGGCTGCAGGGTTCACGGGACGCCTACACGCTGGCAAGCTTGGAGCCAGCTGGCCTTCTCCTCCTTTGCTCGTAGTCCCCGATGTCGTCCTCGTGGTCCCTCCCAGACATGACTTCTCCCACCAGTGGGACAAATCTCAGAGCCCATCAGCGCCCAGAGCTATGAGACGCCTCTAAAACACGAGCAAACACCTGACTTGGCCTTAGCTTCCGGACAGGCGATGTGAAGACGCAGGAGGCTGTTGTGCTGCTTCATGCTAGCAGGTAGGTAATTATTTATTCACCTTGTGTCAGTTGTGTTTGTTTCCTGCCCTCACACTGAGTCCTTGCACGACAAGTTACAGCTCCTGACCAGCACAGGAAAAATCAACTAAAAGGACCACAAAGTTTAACTTTTCATTAACAGCTTGAGACAGAAAAGGGACATGTGTAGAAAGATGCCAGTAGCAGAAAGGTCCTACAGTTTGTAAGGCATTTGCGTTCTGTTTTCAGTAATCTAGTTAAGCGTTCGGCTAGATTACCTGTTTAGGTCCGGTAGAAATAGCTCCTCACGTTTTGTAGAAAGGCTTGGAGTTAATCAACTTTAACAAATGATCAATGGCTTCTAGAGACTCTTGCTGGGGCAGTTGGTTCACCAGGTCAAAGGCTTTCACCCCCACTTCCTGAGCCTGAAAAGAAACAGCAAAGGCAAAACAACTGTCATGAATTTGACTTTTCTCAATGGGTACTTCAAATATCTGCAGAGCCGCACTGGGTCGGATCGAGGCTCTAGCAACTCAAGCGCTTGTTTCAGAGGGTGACCTGGGCAAGCTGCGTTAGAGGGGAGAGTAAAGCTGCCAACAGATATCACATTTAGGATCCAGTTGTGCAGACAGAAGAGATTACCAGCCCCAGCTCCCCCCCCCCCAACTGGAGATCATTACTTTCTGTCTGACAAAGCAGTTCACGTGAGCATTCCCACATCTATTTCAGGAAAAAACAGCTGCATTGACTCTGTTTATGAAACTAAATCCCTCATTTCCCTTGGTAACTTTTCCAGCGACTAGACACTCAGTTAGAAAGCTTTGTCTTTTTTCTAATTTGAATTTGGCTACTTGTATCTTCCAAACATTGATTCTTGCTATGACTTTCTCTTCTACCATCAAGAGACCATCAGGAATCCATATTTTCACCCTCTGAAAGACAGGCAGAAGAACCTGGAGATTTTTGAATGCCTAACCCAAGCAAAGGGGCCTGACTTCCAGATGGTCACAGCTCAGCAATTTCTCAAAATCAGTTTTTAACGCAGAGAATTGGGCACTCCAAACTTAGTCACACCTGAAAGTTTTAGCAACGCTCAAATAAGGTGGTACAAACCCAAAACTGAACTAGAGAGTCCGGTAGACTGAATCTACATTAAGGCCATGGTGATGACAGATAGCCTGGCTCATGGTGAGACGCACGCAGGGCCTATGTCTCACTCGCTGCCTAACAGGATCCACCGGGGATGGGGAGCACAGATCAAAACCGATCCCGTAGGCTTTATCAGCCCTGACTGAGTGCAGATCGTGAACCGGCTTCGGGCAGAGCTACCGAGGCAGCTCTGTCCTGGGCTATCTGGTGCTCCAAGGGAGTTATCACCTTGGGAGAGGTGCCAGGTGAACACAGGCAGCTAGCTTGCGTTCCTCACTTTGTGCGGTGGGTGCCAGCAGCAAGAGTTAGGGAACGCTCCTGGACCCAGCCGACCCTGTGCAAAGCTACGCGGAGATCTGGACTCCAAGCGCTCTGCCCAAGGACAGCCAGGTGGGTTTTGCAAGTGGATGTTCAAGCTGATTGCAAAGTCCTATTCACCACAGGCCTGCAGGGCTCACAAAGCCTGTGATTCTGTTTGGCAGAAAGCAGAAAACAGCCCACAAGTTCGCCAAGGCAAAGGTTACTTGAGCAAACATTACTGTATGATTATAACATGGTATGACCTTTCACTGAGGACAAAAGCAGTCATCACCAGGTGAAACCTACCTTTGATAAATCCATGCTCAGGTAATAAAGCATTGCAAGAGAATGCAAAACTTTGGCAGTCTCATCAGGCTGTTGCTTTGGTGCCTGTTCTCTGAAATCTAATATTGCATTCAGTGCTTGAATTGCTTCTGCTTGCTCGGCTTCAGCTGCATCAAGAAAGAAATAATTTTGTTGGTTGTACGTATACAAGATAATATATTCAAAGCTGTCCAATTATCTCTTCTAGACATCAAAGCCTTTCTACTACAAGCATCAACGTGGTATCCCAGCTCCATGCAAATTCCATACCCATTAGCAGATATCTTTTCATCCAGTCAGTAATTGTGTTGATTAGCCTTTAGTAAGGATGTGGAGTCATAACAGCTGCATGAAAAGAGCAATGTTCATATTGCTGTCATAACCAAAGATGGTATCGTGTAGCCCTGTCTACTGCAGCAACTACTGATAGAAAGCCGTGTAAAGAGATCCACAGAAACATTTTTCTTCTGACAGTGCTTTTATTGCCATAGATGTTAGAAGACAAGGAACATAGTCTAGTCTGACTTTGGTGGAGTGTAGTGCAGTACCATGAGCTCCAGCATATTTGCTAATGCTTCATGCAGCTTCCTTTACATGTCGTAAGCGAGAGAGATTCCCTAGCTCCACTTCTGAGAGTATTTTCCAGATTAATACATCCAACTATCAGCACACACTATGCCATCGTGTCCTACTGCTTCAGAAGAAAGAGCTGTAAAGCTGCCCAAGTGAGATGAAATGTCACTTTTGCATAATTAAATAGAGACAAAGAAACTGAAGGTAAATGAGAATCTTGAAGTGGAATTGAATTCTGAAAGACAAACTCTTGTATCATTAAAGTCATTGCCTGGAGCGCTGCGAAAAGCAACAGGTAAACAAAAAAGGGGAAATACTGCAAGGCCGTGTTTCCATTTGAACACCCTTGTTTCTAAAGCGGCCTCGTTTGTTTGATCGAGAATAATCCACTGAGCATCAATATCAGATACCTATGACCCCTGATTAAATTTGGTCTATGGAAATGTCAGGGACAAAACCACCCAGTAAATATGAGCAGTGGGATGGAGGGACTCTTTAAAGTCCCACCTCCCAACCCTTCCTGCAGCTACTTACTCAGATGGTCTTTGCTGACTTCCCTGTCCTCATCGAATGGAGACGCTTCTGCTTGCAACTTGAGAATTTGCTCCTGTGTTTGAACTGACGTCATGAGAAAGGCATGCCAGATGGCAGTCACCTACCAGGAAGGCAATGGAAATTATTTCGCTTGTATTAGCACTGGCTATTTAGCAACTAGCTGTCCTGTAAGCAACGTGTCCTGCAATACAAGTCCATACCATGATAACCTGAGCACTCACTGGTCAGCGGGCCGGCTGCTGCCAAGCAGGACGCTTCAAGCAGAGATCTGACTGCTCTTGCCTCGGTGGGAGCTTTAGCTGCAAGCTCACTTTGCCACCTGACTACTAATTATCATCACACTTGAGCAAATTTAACTAAACCCGTAACTAAAAGCAAATTTGGCTGAAGTTTGGAACAGAGGCAGACTGCACAACCACAAAAGCCTTATTTCTGTAGGAAATCAGCCTAACCAAAAAAAGGCTCCTTTTTCAGGTAACTTGCACAATGCAAGTTTAAGTAACTAGGGAGATTAGACAGTTGTTAACTTCCCTTGCACGATCATCCCATCCTGAGAAACTCTTCTCCGTGTGACTTTTCACTGATACTCGGTTTAAATTTCGCATGACTCCGTCGCATCCCATTAGGGCTCAGCCACTCTTCCCTGGCTATGGAAACACCAGGGCCACCTTTTCTACCCGGGGGGACTATCTTTAACCTCTGCCCAGGGTATGTGGTAGCAAAGCTATGTTTTTTAAATGAGGTTTGGCTACCCAAGTTGAAGACTGCAACTTCAATGACAAGTTTTTACCAAGTGCTTTATCTATCCTAGCTGTAACTCAGAGGAATGTTTATCTATGAAAAAAGTGTTTGAGATGAATGCTAGAAGGCAACATCAACCCCGTGCTCACAGTCATCCTAAAGGCAGTCAGGAATGAGGAAACGCTGGAAAGAGCACAGAAATAAAACTAAGAAATGCATATCAGATGAGCTTTGGTTTTACCAACCTCAGCATAGAGTGAGTTTGCTATGTCCATTTTGTTCTGGCGAAAGAAAATATTCGCCAAGTGGAAATATCCTCCAGCTGTCTGAATAGCGTTTGGTCCAAATTCACAACTAGCAAGGTAAATCTGAAATCAGTGTTTAAAAAAAAAAAAAAATTTGCACAACTTTAGTGTTCATATCAAAATAAACCTGGCAAATTTTTCATTATGGGTTAACGTTACAGAGCATTCCCTCTGCTGCGCAGCTGTGGCATTAGTCATATCCGATTACAACTGAAAAATGTGGTACTAAAAAAAGGGCATTTCCTGGTTTATATGGAGGAATTCACCCTCCCACCCCAGTCTCCCGCTAGCGCTATTCCCTGGCGCAGAGGCACCCTTAGGGTGGTGTGTTACCCTGGCGAATCACGGGCAGGTTTCCCACCTGTCTTTCTCATGCTGCGCGGCTCATACGTCTCCCTTCTTTAAACGCGCGACTTGCCGCAGCTCTTGGGCTCTCTGGTCGCGCACCGGGAGCCTTTGCCTGCCCCCGAAGCCCCAGGCGCGGCGTGGGGAGGGGAGCGGGAGCGCGGAGTTGCATTCCGGCTATTCTGAGCCGGCGCGTGACTCTCAGCAGATCTCGGACACGTAGCCAGAGTTCAAGCAGGTCTTAGTGTGACTCTGGTATCTGCCAGAGCAGTCTAAAGGCAAAAATCTCCTCCCTGAGCCCCTTTCAGGCCCCGCATCCAGGCTACCTAAAAAGAGTGGCGCTGCAGGGAATGTCTCCTGATGGGCTGAAAGACTAAATCAAGTCAAGGGTGTAGATATTGGAACAGAAAGGATCTAATTCTCCTCTATCATAGGTCATCATTTACATCCCCACAAAGCTGTTGCAAAAGGCTACCATCAAATCCAACAGCAGCGGGCAATTGTCACTCCGCGCTGGGTAAATTTAGTCTATATGTGATAGAGACAAATGGTAAATCGGGCAGTTCATCTCTCTCTGGGGGAATTAAATGACAGGCAAAGCATCTCAGGGACACAATTGGCAATAACCAGATTTCAAATTTGACAAGCTGCTCTCGCAGCCAAAAAGACTGAATGGGAGAAACTGTTATTGAATCAGCCATTTAAATAGTTAAATAAACAATTCATTCATTGAATAACAGTTGAACTGCTGCCTAACAAAAAAAGTATCAAGGAAAATGACAGCTAAAATAAAGTAACTTATCTACTGACTAAAAGGCAACTATACCAAGTTGTAGTAGGAGTGTCTATTCATCTCACGACCATAGCAAAGCTGATCGATAACTGTATAAGCAGATGTAGCAAAGAGAAGGTGTGCACAACTCCAGGGAATAAGGATAACTGCTAAAACACAACTTTGAATAAGCACAGATGCGCAAGTGCCTTAGATCTAGACAGTTCTGGTTTTCTTAACGTGCTTACCCTCCTGATGCCTAAAATCAATACTACAAGCATGTCTGCTGGGGTTTTTACAGCAATCTGGAACAACTAAAGAAGGAAGGGACCCCAAAGTGCTTCTGTATTTTCAGTGGCTTACGTCATTTGCTAGGTGATATACAGACTGTTCGAAGTTTCCTTTAGCGGCACAGAGGAGACCCAGATCCCGATGCAATTTATACTGAATGGCAAGGCTGCAGTCTGGAGTTTTGAGGACAATCCACTGAGCTTGGGAGAGATACGTAGTCGCCTGCATAAGGCAGTCAGCACCTGAAATGACACGTAGACATAAGCAGGATACAAGCTGAGAGCATTTTATGTTTAGAAAGGCAGAGAATACTACCCGTTTTCCCTTTGCAGTAGCTTGACAGAGAAATCTAGTTCGTGGATGTCCCACTTCTCTGCTGAATGCTCCTTAGTCAAACAAGTGCTCAAAACCTAATTTTACAGACAGGCTGAGTGTCTAGAGCTACAGGAGAAGCCAAAAATTAGGTATCATTCAGTATCGCTGAAAGTACGTTCGAAACAGTTCCAGCTAGCTACAGTGACTAATGATTTGTGTATTATCACACTTGAATTACTGAGGGGATTTTTTTCCCCTTCTCTCTCCACCCAATTTAAGACAACCCTTGAAACTACTCAATTTTGCTAGAAGAGCATCATGGTTGCTGCTGTAATAGCAATGATTTGCAGTGATTTCTCAGTCCTTTATATCTGCAACTGAAGAAAGTGGTTTCTAACTTTTTTTTTTTTAATATCAAGTCATTGGAAAAAGGAGCACAATCTTAAGGCAGAGCTCACTTTTGTGAACGCACCGAGGCGTTCCTCTGATGCAGCAGCCTCAGAAACGCTTGCCGGTCCTCTGAGATCATGAGCCCAAGCAACCACCCTTGGGAATTTAATGCTTCTGAGAGTCATAGGAAGCCACAGAGGCAAAGAACAGATTTTCAGATCGCTTCTCTTGTGGGACACAGAAGAGATGGGGAAAAGATTTACTTTGCGTTCCCTGATCCCTCATCACTGGTGAGCAAGCCTTTTCTCAGAGGCACTCAGGAAAAAGGTGGGCAACTTCTCAAATTTCTCTGGAATGCCCTTGAGGAAGGGCAGGGTAGATGCATGGCACAACGTTGAAGTGCAGAGCTTGTCCTCTCCTGATAAATGGTAAAAGGAAACCAGAAACCTGACCCCCAGGGAGGTCTTGCCCTTGCCAAAGTTACTGTTTAGACCAATGCTTACCAATGCAGGCCTCGGCCAAGACGAGATAAGCAGGTATCACATCCACAGAATATGAGCCATACACGCAAATGCTGAAATGCAGTGCTTGCAAACCTGCGGGTATCGCTTTTCCAGGCTTTCCTTCAAGAATAAACTTCTGGGCTGTGCCATACGCAAGATCGATAATGTGTTTCTACAAGGAAAGATAATAACAGAATACAGTGAGCAAAGGATAAGGAGAAGTAATAAGCGAGGTCTCTTTTTACATTTAAGTTGTTTGCAAACTGTTAATGGTGACCATAATCTCTGTTGCGTCTGTAATTAATGGATGGAAATTAGAACTGTCATTATCAGAGCCTGGATTTCATTCCTACTTCTAGGTCATGTGGTGTCTTAAGAGATGAAGAACCCGTGAAGCCTAGGAAGAAAAGGCTAATAGGTCTGCAGCAATAAAAGCTGTGAAGCACAAAAAATGAACATCACAAGACCATAGAAAAGATTAGACAAAGGGGCTACAGCAGGGTTTTGCTGACAGTAATAACGATGACTCAGAGCAGGCAGCAGAGCGAAGCGTATGGCTTGCCAAGGTAGTGCCAGCACGGCACATCTCCATCCGCAGGAGACCTTGTAAGCAAGGAGACTGCTCTTCGCTGGGTGCTGCAGCACGATAGCAGGAGACCTGTGTGCATCCCAGGCATGGGCAGGTTCTTCCCTCCCTCTTGTGGCCAGTTCTGGCCTCTGAAGGCCACTGAGCTCCTGGTATTTTTGTCATGGAGCCTGGAAAACTGGTCAAAATCAGGAAACTTTAACACACTGAACTATCCTCTTGTATCTCCAATGCCCAAGCTCAGTTTGGTGATCAAGCAGCTTCCGCAGGATTTCTGTTTGCTGTCAGAAACCATAATGTTTCCATACATAGAGTTGCTTCCTGTCTTTTGCTACTCCTAGGAATGCTCGCCACGTTTGGTCTTCTCACCCTTTGCAGCACTTGATCTCCTTATCAGCTCCATAAGTGTATATGCACTTGAATGCTTCTTCCTTGCCAGAGCTCTGCTGCGACTGTAGGGGCTGTGTCCCTACAGCACACTGAAGGATGCCAACGAAAAAGCCAGGACACTTGCTTTCACTGTAGTTGTTGCAAGTTCCCAACATATTCCATATTGGTTTTTCACACCAGTTCTGCAGAGGCAAGACTGCCTGCAAAGAAATTGGGTTGCTGGTGCGTCTAGAAGCGCTGTCGTGGTAAGTCAGCAAGGCGCTCTTCTCTTGCTAGGAGGCACGGGCAGGCCTGTGCAGTGAGCGCCTGCAGAAAATACCATTTCACCTTTTACCTTGCCTTTACCTCAGCCAAAGGCTCTGCTTTGGCTGATGTTTTCCAGCTGTGGCTGAGCAGAGAGCAGAAAAAGCAAACTGAGTGCTTTTGGAGGCCAGTTCAAGGCTTTGGCATTTTGGTGAGCTTCACGTGCTCAGAGAGGCAAAGAATTGTACTGTGGCAAAGGAACAGCACAGGGATAGGGAATGTTAAGAGGAGCCTGAGTGTTTCCTGAAGACCCTGGCTGGTCCAGATAAATGAGAACTGTGCAGAACACACCTCAAAAACAGTAGTTCCTGCTGCATCAGGGACAGCCAAGAGCAGGAAAACCCAGCCATCGCTCCCTCCCTAGCCCCTGAGCCGCCAGCGTACGCACAAGGGCATGCCCCAAAACCCAACTGTGTTGGGGGAGCATGTGGTGCCAAGGAGAAAGTCAGCGCGTGGTCAAGGCGAAAAGCAGTAAAAGCTATTATTTGCCAGGCTGCCTTTTGTGTCTTTGCTGCTCGTTTTCTGCTGCAGCTGATGCCAGCTTTGGTACATGGATGTCAAACACTGCCGTCTGGGGAGGCGTTTGAGGTCAGCATAGTTCTCTTTTTATTCCTCATCAACAGGAGCATCACGGCCTCCCACGATGGGATCTATTTTAAGGCCTCTGGAGGGAGGACAAGCTAATGGTCAGGCTGTGGCCCAGCAGAAAGGGCAGGAGACAACAGAAGCCCCACGTCACTGAATATTTAAGCCCACACAGTAGTAAGCCTGGGAGGGGGGAATCATTAGCTTTGGCCCCACACTGTTTTTCATCTTGCTTATAGCTCCACCTCCCCCAGACCTGCACCCTGTTGGCTCTTTTCATGTGTGCTGCAATTACAGAGATTTGTCTGAAGATGCCCCCCACGCAGTTCTTGCCGTTTATGGTTTGAGGAGGCCGAGGACCCCAGCTCCGCTCCAGGTGGGATCGGGGCGTTGGGCGCACACGTGGGGTTCTGCGCCGTGTTCATTTACTCACTCGCGGGCGCCGCCAACGATGGCACGCCTTGAACAGAAGTACGGTTCAAGGAGGAAGCCAAGCTTCTAGTCAGTTTGTCTAAGGGCCCTTTGAGTTAAAGCGTGCAAACAGCAGGGCTAGTGTTGGTGCTGGAGGACTGCTGTAGCTGGTTGAGGTGTGGCTCTTTTCCCATACCCAGGGGCTGCGGTGAGCTGACATCACGCAGGCAGGTGAGGCTATTCTACAAACAGAAACCTGGAGTTTTGTCAGCTCGAAGGTACTGTCTGCAGGCACCCCCACGGCTATGTCGACAAAAGCAGATTTTTATCAACAAAGCTTTGGAGTACAGGCGAGGTATGAAACTCATAATCTCCTGGCTCTCAGCTTAATGCACCTTCCCTCAGGCCAAAGGGCATTTTGATGTGCACAAGCTTTCCTGTGTCCTGACTGAGGCTCAAGCTGTGTGTTTTTCAAATAAACACCGTGCAGGAGTTTGAAGTAGAACTGAAATGTTCAAGAAATATTAAACCTCTGTGCTGGCTTTGAAAAGAAGAGTTTTTTTTTTTTTTCCTCCAGTTGTCATGAGACTACATAGCTTTCCCTTGGGCTTCAAAGCAGGCTCACTTTTGCTGGCTTTATGAGTAGGCAAATAATGAAGCCAGCAAGATGGGGCATTTTAAATAATCTTGCCCTCTCCACACTGCTCTTCTGACACTTGTCAGTTAGGCTAGACCAAACCTTGTCTGTAGAAGTTTCTCTATACCTTGCTGTACAAACTCAATGCTGACCTCATTTGTGAGCTAGGAGCTGCAATCTTGCTGCAGAAGAAAGCATGTTACTGCTTTTTCATGCATTGACTTCTCTCTTAAGAGAGAAGGAAGACAAGATGTCACTCCATATGCTATTCTGAGACTTACTTTTATTTAAATTGTCTGGAAGAGATAAAACTCAAAGAATAAATGCAATCAGAGTTGTCAAAAATCCTATACAAATCTCTACTTTAAAAAAAAAAATCAGTCTGCTGCCCATGTCTTTTCCCATGAAGTTAATCCAACCCTTGGCTCAAGCTGCAGTTTTGCAGTTGCTACGTGCTAACCTAGATGTGCACTCCAATCAAAGGAGTGCTTCTCCTTTTGCCTCCTTCTTTACCAGCCCCATGTTCCTGCTACTTCCCTTGTAACCTATTAAAAACAAATTATTAGCTTCCAGCTGGATTAGTTCCTTGATTTGGTCACCATGTGGTCTTTTGTAATGTGTACAGCATAATTCTAGTTCCTAGAAAATCAATAATGTAATAACAACAGATGCTTTCGGCATCAGTGTTCAACGTGTTGGTAAAGTTTCTTGGAAAAAAGGACACCTCAATACCTAAATATGCAAAAAGAAAGCTACCACCACCCTGGTAGGACTAGTTTACTTTTGCTTCCTTGCAGATTTGAAAAGGTCAGCTTGAATCAAGTTGAAAAGATCAACTTAAACTTGAACTGGGACAAATTAGGAGCTTTTGCATTTTTTTTCGACACTGGCCTTGTACGATGGAATTACTCCTGCCAGAACAACTGTGCAACTTAGAAGCTCATTTCTGTCCTGAATGAAGCCTGGTTTTCCTATATTCAGGATGCCTTTCCCAATATCCAAACACTGGGATTATAACTTATCCTACATGTTTAGATAATGGTCTCTGGCCTCTACATGATTACTGCCACTCTCTTGGCTTCTAGGGCATATGGTTATAACACAGCTTATTTGGACTTTGGTCAACAATCTTGCTTGTGATTTTCAATCAGATAGGATTTTTCAAAAATGAACTGGGTAGTCAGTGCACAGTTCCTACAAAACTTAAATTTGCTACCTAAATCCTATCACGGGCCTTTAATAAGCAGGATTTTGTCCATCCAGGTTCATCCCTGTTTAGGCCTTTTCTTTCTGGATGCTACCAAGAAAGGCTGCAGCAATGAGCCAGTCACCAAAGCACTCGCATCGAGCACGGAAACAGTCTTAAAAATGATACATTATTAAATAAGATGTAAACTCTAGAAGATGAATGATGTTGTTCTCAATGGCACTGTTTGATTGTTACAGTCTCACTTGTAGTTGTTCTGTTGTCCTATTAGCCTGTGATTAGGAGTTATGCAAAGACAGAAAGATAATTTATTTTTATGGGAAAGATCAAAGCAGATGTATTAGGGTGGGTTATTTCATTTCATCAGCGTTGTGGAAAGGCAGATTCTGCCACCCCACAAACAAACAAAAAGGGAGAGTTCAAACCTCGCAGGCTGGAAAGGAGCCGTACATCTGCACGTCCCATGAGGCCAAAAAAGCAGGGATAAAAGACCATACTTAGCAGAAGAGTGTTTAAAGTTGGCCAGGCCCCTCTTTGCCCCTTCCTTTGAGAAGGGGGAATCCCTCTCATCAGTGAAGGAGGGGATACTCTGTAAAAACCAAAAATCAGCTGGGTCAGAAACAAACTTTACTGAGTACCTTTGCAAGCCTGAGAAAGGTAGGGATCAGGGAGCGCTGCTACCAAGCCAAAGATGAGGACGCTCGGGACTTTGAGGCAGGACTGCTAAAAGGCAAGAGGCTTGCAGAGCTGGAGGGAGGATGCTCCCACTCCTTCCCAGACAATGCCTGCTAAATATTGTTATTTTTTATTATTAATTTTTACTTTCTCTATCTTTAAAAGAAAACACCGATTAACCTGCTAGATGCCTTCCCAATAGTGTGTACATCAAAACAGAGGAATAGAGGATGTAATTAAATTTCACTGGTAGCACTTTGAAGTGGTATTCTTTCTTTTCTTGCACATACCTGCTGGTTCAGCCGCTGTTCCATGCCGCGTTTTCTTTCTTTTTCAGAACTGAAAAAAGGTAAGGACGTATGGATTGGAATCAGTAGCTGGCATATTCTCTTGTGGATACTAACCCAGTCAGCTTTCTGATGTTCTACATCGCTAATAAAATAAATGAAGAACAATATTTTTGTTTACTTAGAAACGATGCAATATTAAAACGTAATTGCCTGTTGTTGTTTCTTCTGGACATTCACCGAAATGTTTACCCACAACAGCCCCAGCTGATCATTTCGATTACTTAGTTCAACTACGGAGCGCTTAACAGAGGCTCGATATTCCCAACCGGGAAGACGGTGCTCCCTGCCGAAGTCACAAGAGGGAGCGCGATTCTCTGAGAGCGTCAGGGCCCTCCTCAGAAATCACTTACAAGACTCCTGACGGCAGTTTGGGGCTTGCTTTTGACATTGCAGTACACAGCGGTTAAAAATAAAAATTAAAAAAAAAACAAATGAAACCAAAAAGACCCCAAGCCAAACTTGTGAAGCTAATGAAAGACGCTGTTAAGGTGTGACAGCATCGAGGGCGACGCGTAAGCAGCATGTATTCGTGTGGCCGGCCAGAAATTTCATTGCGCTGCCACTTTATCCCACGGCCTTCTCCCTGTCCCCCCATCGCTGAGACACAAGTGACGTCACAATCACCATCACCAGGCAGGTGACAACAACGGACTCTCAGGCCCTCCAGAACAAGTCCTCCCCGAAAGCCACTCCGAGCCTCCTCGCCCTCC